TTTATTTATTTATTTATTTATTGTATTTTAGGGAAGAGTCTACAGGATGTTCAGGGCCTCACTACTAGATCGGACTCATAGTGATCTACCTATTTACATTCTCCCAAGAGCTGGGATTATACACGTGTACCACCACACCCAGTCTCAATTGCCATCTCAGCATGTCCCTGGGGTGGAGCCAGCATGTCAGGCCTGGGGATAGAACCCTCTGCCCTGCACCTGTTTGCAGGCATTTTAATATGCTGAGTATTTGGGTGGCCCTCAATATTCTTTAAAGAGCTACACAAACATAATCAAGAATAGGAAACACTTGATCATCAAAGGTATGCAAAAAAGTCCTTGACAGTGTTAACATTTCTGTCATGAAAACAGTCCTAAATAAATTTGGTACAGGAGCATTTTATTTCAACACAGCAAGGAGTGCATACGCAGCAAGCCCATACCAGATGTTGTGCCACATCAGGAAATCTGAAGACCATTTCTTTAATGTCAGCATGAAGATAAGTGTGTGTACTCACAGGACACAATCAGTAATGTACTGGAACTTAGGACAGTTCAATTAGGAGCAGAAAATATAGAAAGCTGTTCAAACAGGAAATTAGACAAACCATTTTCATTGATAGTATAACTCTATTCACAAAAACTATAAATTACCATGACCCGTTTAGAACTCATTCTGCAAAATACCATTGCACAAAAATCACCATACAAAGACCAGTTCCTCTTCTATAGACCAATAATGGGGTGTCTGTAAAACAAGCCAACAAAGAAACCAATCTACTACAATTACAAAAAGAATGATAGATAGAGAGACATAACCAAATGCATGAGAAATCTTTATGTTAAAAGTTATAAAATACAGAAGAGTTCTAAAGTTTTTCAATAGCTGTCTAGTAGTTTGACAGAAGTCAAGTGTTCCTGATCATTTGGGGTTTAAATTTGGATTCTTGGATCAATTTTTAGGCAGCCACTGGAGTGGTGCAAATTCTTCAAGAGTGTACCTCACTGACACATACACATGGGTATGGGACCTCTGAAAAATGGAGAGACATAATTATTTATGGACAGATCATCTGATTTTTGACTATTGCTTTGAACAAAACCTCCCAAAACACAAATGAATAAATATATATTGCTGTGAGCAGAAGAAGAAGCAGAACTTGAAAAGGACAGAAGTTGTCAGGGAGCTGATGGTTATCCTGGAGGATCTTGTCATACTGGCTTTCCTGATATGAACATGGCCATTCTTATTGTTGGAGGAGCTCAGGACTTTGTTGTCAGTGAGAATGGCAACAGTTCACTTTAGGGGAGCTCTGGGCCATACCTTAAGCATCTCTTTTTGGCACCAGAGGGAAAAGATGATGCGCTCTTCAATGTCCTGGAGAAGCTTGTCATGCTGTTTTTTGATGTAGACTTGGCTGTTCACATTCTCAGGAGACCTCAGGATCTCTTTGTCACTGAGGCTGCCTGTGATACCTTTCACTGGAGCTCTGGTTCTTAACAAGCACTTCTTTCTAACTCCAGTTTATATTTCTCAGCCTGTTAGCATAGGTCCTACTTTCTAGCTTCCACCACTGACTTTTGGGCCTCCCTAGTGCAAGTCTTTCAAACAGGCCTACATGGGACATTGTTTGTGTGCACTTGGCATGCAGTTGACCTTGTTGGGGTCATTCATTGTCATGGGCTCCACATCTTCAGCTGCACTTATGTGGGACATCGCTGTGTGATCCAGGACCTCTGATGGATTCTTTTAGTCTTAAGTGTGTGAACAGATTTCCTGTACACTGTTGGTACATGACTCTTTGGGTGACTATTATAGCATAATCCTATAAATTGTGTGTTCTATATTGTTCCCCTTGCAAACCCTGACTACAACAGCCTACAAGAAGAGTAACACCAAAAAGATATCAGATATACCATAAAAGAAAGAACAGGACAGAAACATCTGTGCTATCAGTGTAAGTGATACTTGTGGAAGGGACATGGAATTGTCATGTGTGAATACTGCCTTGGATGTGACAGTTAAATATTCACTGTGTCATAGACTTTTCTTTGTGGTTTTATTTTAGTTCACCTAGGTTTTTATTTTCTGATATTATCTTTTAGGATTTTTTTTTCTTTTTTTGGCAGAGCTGGGAATTGAGCTCAGGTTCTTGTACTTGCCAGGCAGGCACTTATTCTACTGAGCCATCTCCCTGACCCTTCTCTTAGGATTTTTAAGTGAGTACAAAGCTGATAAGAAAAATGTTGATATTTGTTCTAAATATCAGATACATATCAAGATTTTCATATTTTGTTATTGTCATTTTATCTTTCTAAAAAATACACATTGCATCATATAATAAGAACCTCCAGACAAAACAGTAAGCCCAATGAGGTGTCAAGAATACCCTACAAAAAGGCCAGGAAAGCAAGACATATGCACTGTCAGTGTAAGAATTACATGTGTGTTGAATGTGTTGTGGTCACGTGTGAAAACCGTCTTAGGTGTAAAAAGTGAATTATTTTATTTTTGGTAGATTGCTATTGGTGCTTTCATTGTACATCATATAGAAGTACATTTCAGGTTTAATTTTTTTACAGGATTTATTTTTCTGTTTAATCTCAAAAGTTAACGTGATTCAAGAGAGTGGTTTTGCTAATAACCAGAAGCACACTCGTTGTTACATTAAAAGGTAAGGAACAATGCTGAGACAGCAATCATAAAGGCCCAAGATCACGTGTGATACCAAGAGTCAACTCACCCAGTCCGACATATGTACACCCATGTGAACTGGAAATTTTATTTTATTTTATTTATTTGAGGAAACCAGGACTGAACTCAGACCCTTGTGCTTGCCAAGGAAGCACTTATTCTGCTGAGCCATCTCCCCAGCCCTCTGAACTGGAAATCTTACCACAGTCTTGGCCTTACTCCTTCCCCCTACCCCCCGAAAAATAATGGAAGGGGGCTGAGCGTTGCCTTTGATTTTAGGCTACTGTGCGATTGTAACAATAAAAGCACAGAAATTAAAAATCAGAATATTGACCACAGAACAGTGACCTCCTGCTGTCACAGCGTGCCTCTTCTGGGGCTGGGTTTTCATGTGTCCATCGGCCTGTTTCCTGGGAATAGTTTTGTCCTTCGGGGTCCATCCCTCCCTGGCAGTGGTGGGTAGCACCTCACATCCGGTTGGCCAGCGCCTTTTTCGGCCGCTTGATCATGCTGGGGTAGAACTCGGTGTGACGCCAGGCACCCTTTGTGAGGTGGTCACTCCTCAGAAAGCGCTCTCACAAAGTGGGCAGCCGAATTGCTTTTCCCCAGTGTGGGGCCCGTAGTGGCGGGTCAGCTCACCTGAGCGGGAGAACCTTTTAAGGCAGGAGGACCACGTGCAGGGAAGGATCCTTCACCTGTATGCACTCTGTAATGGACTTCGAGATTGAAGGATTTTCCACAGACTTTCCCACAGCCACTGTAGGGGCACTTGTGCCTCTTTTCGGAGGCTTATTGCCGCTTCGCAGCCACCCCAGGGTGGAGCCGGAGAGCAGGCTGGGCGCGCTGCCTGGATCCTGTCTCTCCTCCTGGCTGAGGGGAGGACTCAACCCAGATCCTGTGGTCGCGTAGCTGTCTGCTCCCACAGCCTCATCGTGACTCTCCAGACTGTCTCTGCACCCCGAGGGATCTGGGTGGGTCGGTACTTGTTCAGGTTCAACAAGCTCTTGGCCAGGGTGACCAGGGTGCACTCATCCCTCCAGGTTTCCCCCAGGCCACTGTGCTCCTTGGTCACCTCGCGCGCAGGTAGTCACAGTCGTTCAGCGTCCTAGCGCTCCCACGCTCCGGCTCTGCAGGGCGATTCGAAATACAAACCAGACACTGGGCAGCCACGAAGTCCGTGTAGGTGGCCGCGGACATGGTGTGGCGACAGCAGCCAGAGCAGTGCGAACAGACTTGGCGGTGGCTGCGGAGGAGGCCTCGGTCCCTCACCTTGGCCTGCAGCGCTCCGCACGCAGCATCCACAGCCCCCGGCTCCGCCGCGCCGCTGGCCCTAGACAGACGCGCCTGCCTTTAGGAGCTGGCTCCTTTGGAAAGATGCCACACGTGGGATCACAAGTTGATTCGGCTGAAAACGTCTCCGAGGCACAGCGAGTGGAAAATGCGAGAGAGGAACAAGCCCTCAGCCGCCTGCCTCTCTGTCGAGCCTAAACTCCAGCGCGTTCACCGGACCACCTCCATGCTGGTGGCAAGGGCTGTGCCTTATATGCCACTTTTTCCTCCAGTTTTTCCTCCAGTCCACGGAAGACTTCTGTGCACCTGGTCCAGCCGGTCCGCACTGTTCTGGCAGTCTTTTGCTCAGCAATAATTTTGCAGAGTCCCACAAGTCACAATCCCAAACCTCTCCAACTGGCCTGTTGGGTGGCTGATTCAACTGTTTGCTTTCTCCCGCTGCCAGTCAGAACTGCATTTAGGTGGAGAGGTGCGTCTAGACCTAGAGGCCAGCGGCCAAACCCACTGTTCCTTTCCGCTGCCTCATGCTACGCCTCCAGCATGGAACACAGACATTTAAAAGGGTAACCATCTGGAGGCCGGAAAGGGGCAACTGCTCCTCCTCTGGGGACGCCGCCTCCAATGGCCTGCCCTGCTCTCCTGGCTCGCGGCTCGGGTTGCTGCTTTTGGAGCTTCAGGACACCTCCTCTCTCAGGTACCTATGACAAAAGACAACTTAGGCCTGCTTTTTCTAGTCTGCATGTTTAAGTCTGTTGCCCTTGTTAGATTTTTTTTACATCAGTAACTAATCAATGTCTAAAATGTTAATGATTTTACATAAACATAATAAATATTAAAATGCCATACTCTTTTTCTGATATTCTCATGTTAAACACTTAGTTTTAATATAACAAATCTTACAAAATATTTAAAGAATAGAGCTACTCTAGAGAGTAAACACAAGTCTAGCACACATATGGATGTGCGACTTTGTGACAAAAATGTCTTCTGCTCCACTTTAATTCAAGAGGAGTGAATACAAGTGATCGGCTGACCGTAGGACTCAAAAGACAAAGGGAGACAATTTCTTCAAATATATTTCCAGGAATATTAAAAGATAAAGTGGAGCAAGAAAATATGAAACTATCAGAGTGAACTATAGTAACATATTTGAGTCATAATAAATCTAAAAAGGAAAAATAATGAAACACAAAAGAGAATTATGAAATGTGATGATGTGCAGACGAAAGTTAGCATATTAAATATGAGCACAAATGACTTGAGAAAGTCACGTGGTGCAAGACATAAAAGGGAGAACTGAATCAAAGTTAAGGTTAAAAATAAGGACTTAGTATAGATTTTATGGCATGAACTAATTCTTTTCAAAATAAGATTCAAAAAGATATTGAAATTTTTCACTTAAATGAAAAATTTTGGATAGGAACATTAGGACTAATTAGAAAAAAATGAATCCATTGGTAATTGAAGTAAATTCCATGCTAGTAATGAAATATGTAACTGAAAATAATACTAAAGGTTCACCTCTGAGCCATTATGGATTTTAGAAAAGCATATATTTTAACTTAGAATGCTTTCTTACTATGAAAATGTTTTATACTTTTTTATCTCTAGAGCCATGCAGAGAATTTCTCTCTGGTCTTAACAAAATAATGTAGCACTTGGGGACAAAAATGCAGCCCAGCAACCCTGCACTAGAGGCCAAGATGGAGAAGACCTCCATGGCCACCATGGCCTTCCCCTTGCTGCTGTGGTACACGGGCAGGAAAGTGACCCACACGCTGAAGAACACCAGCATGCTGAAGGTCAGGAACTTGGCTTCATTGAAGGTGTCAGGCAGGTTCCTGGCCAGGAAAGCCACAGTGAAGCTCACCAGGGCCAGGGAGCCCAGGTATCCCAAGACACAGTAGAAGGCAGTGAGGGAGCCCTTGTTGCACACAATGATGATGTGGCCGTATTCAGAGTGAGCATCTGTGTCAATGTAGGGTGGATTTGTCAACATCCAGATTCCAGAGAGAGTGAGTTGGATCAGGGTACAGATGGGGATGATGTAGTTAGGTGCCCCTGACTCCAGCAATTGTCTCATCCCCCTGCCTGGTGCAGTGACCTTAAAGGCCAGCACCACAGTAATGATTTTTGCCAAGACAGTGGAAACAGCCACACTGAACACAACTGAAAACGTGGTCTGCTGCAGGATACAGGTGGCTGTGTTGGGACGGCCGATGAAGAGCAAGGAGCAGAGGAAACAGCAGGTGAGGGAGCTGAGCAGGGTGTAGCTGAGAGCCCTGTTGTTGGCTTTGACGATGGGAGTGTCTCAGTGCTTCACAAAGAGCCCAAGAACAGCAGCTGTGAGAACAGAGAGACTCAGGGCAGTGCCAGCCAGAGCCTTCCCCAAGGGGTCTTCATAAGCCAGAAAAGTGACATTCCTTTGGAGGCAGTGGTTTCTTGGAATGTTGGCATACTGATGATCTGGACATGTCACACACTGTTCCATATCTAATGAGAAATTAAAGTTATCAACACAACAATTTCAGTTTTTTCTACTTACTCATAGCCCTTACCCCAAGATGCTCGTACTTGAGGAAAATTTCACAGGTTCTCTAGACAGTTGAAAATGTTATATAAGAAGCAACTACTCCTTGATACTGGCCACCTTATTTGTGATGCCATGGACAATATTTTGTTTATTAGTCTGCTACACTCATAAATTCAGTTCTCTCTTTTCACGAAGCAGAATGCTTCTGTAATAAACAATCTCTGCATGTATTGTTGTGATTTCTCCCTGAATCTGCAGGCAATTATGGAAAACCTACCATAATCTCATAACTTTAATGAATCAGATCATTCTAGTAGCATTTCATTTCAGGAAACATATGAACTGTCACCTCATAAAAGGTCATAATTTACACCCAAAGTCATAATTGAATTTTGGCTAAAATTACCTAGTGTCATTGTATCAATTTTGTAAATAGTGATTCTTCTTCAAGGAAACTTCCATATGTAAACACATTTTATTCAACAACTTATTTAAGTTTTACTTTTGTTAATTCTTTCCTTTAATTTATCATTACTATGTTTGCAAACACTTAAAGAATTGATCAGCATTTCATATTTTAAAATGGAACAAAGATCATACATAATTTTATCTTTGAATATTACATAAGTAAATTTGAGGAGCATTTTAACATAAATCATTCAATTAGAACTTTATAAATTTATTAAATCAGTAGTATTTTATATATACACACAACTAACATTACAGGATGCTGTCATTTGTAGTAAGTATTTTCTGAGAACAGTTTGATTGTTATTTCTTTGCTTGAAAATACTGTATTAGAGGCTGGCCAGATAGCTCATGGGACTAAAGCAACTGCCTTGACAAGGGCAGAGACCTGGGTTGCATTTTTGGCATGCCATGTCAGACCCACCACAAGGGTACACTGAAATGGGCATGGTGGCATGTGCCTGTAATCCCAGCACTGGGAGCCTGAAAACAGGTGCATTACTATGAGTCTGATCTGTGTAGTGAAATGCGAGAGCCCCTATAGTAAATAAAAAAAGAAAAGAGAATACTGTACTAGCTATGTCTTTCTGTGCATTGCTAGTAGAATGTTGTTGCAAAACTGAGTCTGCGAAAGAAGCAACACCAAGGAAATCTGGAGGCAGTGAGCACCTTTATTTTGCATTGCTGGTCCTGGCCAGGCTCACTCCCCATCAGCAAAGCCAGGTAGTGAGTGATTATGACCTAGGGTTTTTATATGATACATAAGCAGGAGGTACAGAGGCAAGAAGGACAGCCTGGCTGTGCCCTGGTCAGCTCACAGGGTGAGATTAGCAGTTAGATGGTGAGATTAAGGACACTCTGTTATGAGACCAGATTAACGGTCATGGAGATTGTCTCATTCAGATATACTGAATTTTTGGTTATGATTTCATGGTTACAGGGTTCAACAACAGATTGCAGAGCAATGAAGCAGCGACAGAGCTAGGTAGTTTCAAAAAGAACAAAATTTCCAAAAGAATACTTCTGGTACTTTTCAAACAGGTTTTCCTTTTTAGAAATAGCCCTATTGAGAATGTTTTTCTTATTCTTGTTTTACACATCGAAGGACAAAATAGAATGCCTGCTTTGGACTCAAGAAATATTATTTATGAAATTAATACAATTTTGTCCAACTTTTAATTTAGTAAGAATTGTTATTGTCGTTCTTTAGCTTTAAGCAAAAAAAAAAAGATGCTCAATGTGTTATATTTTAGTTATTTTATTTGTATTTTCCAGGGAAATTAGTGCCCTCAAATATATTCAGTAAGCCAAAGATGATTACCATCCAGGTCCCCATCACAATTAGCGTGCAACCAAAAAAGGGCAGGGTAGGACTGGCTCTTCTACTATTGCCCTGCGGCACTGGAGCCAGGCTTTCGCTCTTCATAGAAAATCATGATCTCTTCAGTTTTCCATTTTTGAAAAGGTGTTTGAGTAATCAGGGTTAATATGATCTTCAATGCTTATATGTTTGACCTCTGAGGTTTTAGGTACTATGAAAAGTTTTGTAAAATATTGTTGTGATTTTACATGATAATACATATGACACTGTGGAATTTTTCTTATTTTCCCTAGGATGGGTTGCTATTTTCTTTTGAATTTCTCAATTTTAAGCACAGTTTCAAAAGTTGATGTCCAATCTTCTAACATTTTTTATTTTATTTTTTTCCATAATTTTATTGAGAAACAAATAGCAATGAGACAGTTTCAAATCAAATTGGTAGGACAGTTTCAATAATTAACACATTGCATACTCTCTTCCTAGTGGTTATTTGCTGTACAAGATGCAGACATGATATCCTATTTGCAAACACTATTAAAACAAATCCCTTTATTCATTAAGAGAATGTAGCTATATATCTATCCTAAACATTTTGAATACACAGATACAAAATGAACATTCATCTGTATCCCTTTTTTCCGTTTAGTTCCGTTATTTGAATATTATATGTATATTAATTCAGCAAAATATTCTAAAAGAGTTCCGTAGCCCATCATAGTATTGGGTCTTCCACTTAACTGGCAATGTCAGAAATTGTTGACCTGAGTCCCCCACAGCTCAACATAACAGCATGGCTTTATTTCTTATATTTCATTTTTATACTTACCTTCTGGATGGTTAAGACCAAGGTAAAGCAGGACCTATGCAACAAGAGCTGTAGCTTTTGGGTCTGATAAGGTCAGTGAAATCCCCTCAGGAATTCTCCTGAGATCCTGTACCTCAGATTGTAGAACCTTTGTCAGTGTCAGCCATGTGGATGAGTCACGGCCATTGCTTGGCCAGTGTGCTCTCTGTGAAAGCCTGAGAGAGTGTTTTCTCTCCATGTGACTCTCCTTAGAGAGTCACACCAACGATCACTTCCCTCTTTGGCCCCATAATCTCCTTGATCAGAACATTTGGGACATTACCGAGTTACATCATGTTACAGTACAAGTTCTCATATGTCCTGAGTCTTAATTGACCTTAGAAGGCTAGGGCCAAAATCTAACATTTTTATGTGAAAGATTTCTTACTTATTTGTACAAATGAGAAATGTATGAATAATAGTTTTTATTTTGTGATATTTCTCTTGTTCCTGGAGAAAATATTAAAATGTATTCATTTTTGAAACAGAATCAATTTTGCCTTTATTATTCTATTTATCGATGTGTCTCTCCATGGATCATCTATCTTCCTATCTAAATTTCCTTAAGATTTCTTTTCATATTGTTCCTTTTCATCTAGTTTACTTTTGTTGAGTTTTATTTTTGCTAGTTTCTGATAAAATATTCAAGTTCAGGACTCAGCCTCTTTATTAAATCTATATCAGGTACACATTTGGCCATACAGTTGGTTTCATTTTCCACTAAAGTGTTTCTAAGTAATATTATCAATTAAACAAATTCTTTTTCAATGTAGCATATCAGCCACAGTTCACTGAAGATTTTTTTGTACTTTTAAAAATATATTTAATATAGGGTCTCCCAAGTGCTGGGATTACAGACTCGCGCTACCATGACCAGTCTCAGTTGCCATCTCAGCACGCCCTGGGGGCAGGGCTGGTAAGACAAGTTTGGGATTGAACCCGGGTCCTTGCAGAGACAGGCCCTGTAGCCCCCTTAGCTATCTGGCCTGCCCAAGAATATATTTCTTAAACTAGAAGTAACTGGTTTGGGATGCATTTTTCTCTATAAATTAACACATATCAAGTTACCACAATCCATTATGATTATATGCACCCAAAGGATCTCTCTTGTATACAATATCATCAAACATTATATTTCATAACTAATTGACAATTATGCTTGCAGATTATAAAACTAAATATCCATGCCACAAACATAAGTAAATATTGTAGAGTTGAGAGGTAATTTTCCCAGTTCAATTATCTCCAAAGTGATACTTATGGTACTGAAAAATCTTCAGTATTACTTTTGGGTGCAACACACAAAATACATCCTCACATTCTTCATTTTTCAATAATCTTGAGCCTCATTTTTTGTAGCTCACTTACAGTCAAAATTGTGATGTTTCTATATTTTATACTTCTGTTAATCATCTGAAGAAATTACCACAATTTATACCCACATGATATAATAGAGATGCTAGAGGATCTGTGAAAAAATTATTGTACATTGAAACATGTAGGGGTCAGGGAGATAGAGCAGCTTTCTAAATGCATGCCTGGCAAGTGTGAGGACTCAGGTTTGATCCCTGGTACCGCACGCCCTACTGGCCCTGCCCCTAACCAGCCACAGAAACTGGGCATGGTGGCACACACTTGTAATCCCAGTGCTGGGGAGTCTGAGACAGGAGGATCACTACAAATCTTAGCTGTGTACTGCAGCTCTGTACCAAATATGTAAATAAATAAAGACTAAAAATAAAGAAACGTGTAGCTATGATCATTTATCATATTCTATATTCTGTGTAAATATAACCAGTACAGCTCAGTGGCACTAATGATTATTCATGTCACTATGCAATAGGTAATTGAAAAGTATGGCTCATAATAATTGTTAAAAAAGTCTTATTACAGAAAAAGGCACATGCCTTTTATGTATTTCTCCCAATATATCCCCCTGTTCCCCAAGCCTTCAGCTCATCTTTTTTTCTTTCTGTCTGCCTGTCTGTCTCTCTGTCTGTCTGTCTAACTTTCATTCCCCCTCCTCCTCCCCCTCTCTCTCCCCTTCCTCTTCCTCTTCCTTCTCCTCCTCCTCCTCCTCGTCCTCTTCCTCATCCTCCTCCTCGTCCTCCTCATCCTCCTCGTCCTCCTCTTCCTCCTCCTCGTCCTCGTCCTCATCCTCCCCGTCCTCCTCCTCCTCTTCCTCCTCCTCCTCTTCTTCCACTTCTGTTTCTTCTTTTCTGCTATATCAGGTATCAAACTGTGGACCTTGCACCTCACTGACAGGTGTGTATGATCAAACTGTGGACCTTGCACCTGACTAACAGGTGTGTATACCACTGATGTATCTCTTGGACCCTATATTTCTGCTTTTTGACACAGTACTGAAAATTTTCTCTTGTCACTGTATTTCCGAATTATAGTCAAATATTCAGGGCATCATGCCCCCAAGTACTTTCAAATGGACAGGCAGTCTTCCAAAACATTATGATGAGTCCTCACCCAGCTATTCACTAGATCTGCCACAAGAATACCAGC